GTCAATGAAACGTAAAAAGTCACATACATAAAAGAAAGTTTCTAAGATGGACCTTATGGGTAGATAAGATGAATGAACCGTCGAACCAATGAATAATTGATTACTTTTTCAGTTTTCAAAAAGTAATGGGATGGAATTAATTATAAAGTGCATAAAGCAGTGAGAATGGAGGTACGAACGTAGAAGCAGAAAATCTGTTAAAACTCAGCTGGCAGTTTGCTGACTACATGAAAGATCCGGATCTCATAAGCTTCCGTTAGCTTTGTTTGGCCGAAATTATACAGCCAGATTGCGCAGCCCTATATGCTGCAACCTCTATATCCTATTTCTTTTATTTCGTTGGCTGGCTTCACTGATTATTAAGTGTCATAACTACGATCCCAACAATCGAGATTCTATCACAGATCCATCTCTACACTCCAAATTAATATGTAAAATGAGTCTACGAATAAAACTTATTTGGAGTAGCCTCACGATTCAAAGATTAATTGTTGATTTTAATTTGGATTTTTATCAAATTTTTAAATCACGCCAAACAAGGGCTTAATTACAAAATTTCCTTCAAGCCCCATGTGCGATGTGATCGTGAGCTCAAAAAGACACGTCATGCATGGCTTAATTTACAAAATTTCCTTCAAGCCCCATGTGCGATGTTATCTTGAGTTCAAAATGACTCGTCATGCTAAGAAGAGGACAACTAGGGCAAGTTCTTTTAACTCTTACATTATGGTCCCCGTCTATAGACGATGAAAGATTATTTTTTGCTAGTGGTCAAAGCAATCCCCTCCGAAATACGTTCTACGTTTTATATTTGTTATTAATTAAAAACGTGTCTAGTATAATCGTTAGAACAATATTATATATTGATGAGCCCACCAGATTTTGTATGATAAGGTCATGTGTGGTACGGATTAAAATCAAAATTTTAATCTAAGTTAAAGTCAACAATTAATTTTAACCACACGTTTCATGGAATCCACACCTTTTTTATCCCATATTTCATCATTTTTTTATCAAAATATATTAAAAATCTGATTTTAATCCCTATCAAAGCAGGGTTGAACCATGGTGGCATGATTCGTGTTATCTACAACTATATTTCCTGATCAGTTAATGGTTTTTTAACTTTGAAAATTTTCTCCATGTGTATCTACCTAACCTAGCCTCTCTAGCTATTTCATTCTACTACATGAGCTTTATCAGAATATTTTACAATCTTTTCATAAAAGAAAAAAATAATAATATTAAAGATAATAGATCCTATACACTTTATGTACGGAATTCAAAAAATATATCTATGGCTATTTATTTATTACACTGTTTTGTATCATCAACCAACGTGCAGCTAGAGATTCTCAGTGTCAAGCATAAACTCACCTCCTCACTTCGTATCATAGTATAGGATTAGCCTAAAAAGGATAGTGCAAGTAACACTAATTAGAATAAAGAAAAAACTAAACAATATTTTCCTCCTTAATCCGTCCTAATTCTATCTCCGTAATATATCTACTAACTTTATACTCTGTCTCTGATTGAGCTTCATTAAAAATAAATTTTGGGGAAAACGTATATTGAAATAGTGATTTTTTAAAGAATTTTTAAAAATAAAATTTTTTTTTTCTACAATGAAACCCAGAGGCTTATTCTTTCTGCAATTTACCAAAAACAACCTTAAGGTACACAAATCCTTGTTTGAACGTGTCGCGATTAGATTAAGAGGGTGTTTGGTAGATATTAAAATTAGATTAAAATTGAAAAATTAGACGTTATTGTTGACTTTTATTAAATGAGTGGGACACAATAACGGCTATATTTTCAATTTTAATTGGATTTTGAGCCGTACCAAACAGGCCCTAAAGGAAAATACTAAGTGTACATAATAAATGTACACAATGATTGACACAATGTGATGTGTCACCCATCCTGTCGTTGATGTGTAAATGTCAAATTTGAATTAAAGGTTTGAATGAATGCCACGTGTAGTTATGTAGACTATTATGTAGAAAGTTATGTACAATCTTCTTTAAATTGTTCCTTCTTTGCAATAAATTCACTTAACTTTTTTAACTTTTAACGAATATTACGCTCCGAATCAGTTTCTATGGCAGCATGTTCCTAATATTACGCTGCCTACAATTCAACACATTGCTCACATCAGGTTGCTCAGCAATGGCAATTTTGAAGCAGGAAATTAGGGTTCGTTTCAAGAAGAAAAGTGGGGTCACGTCCCTCCAAATTTTATTATCTTCTAGATAATATTGACCATATGGACAGTTTCGAATCTAATTTTTCAAAGAACCAAACCTTACGGCGACTCCAAGAGTGGACCATAATTTCCACAGTTTCTCTCGCGCATCCAACAAGTCATCTCCCCAATCCTTTTTCATGGTTCATGAGTACTACAGCAATCAAGAAAGCACGTCACTTTCAAGAAAATTTGAAGATGAAAAGTGTAAATCTTCCAAGTCACAAACTATTGAGGATGAAAAGTGTACTCAAAATAGATATTTGGTGAAAACGCTATTCGAGAGACGTAAAAGCTCAATGTATAAGGTTGCAAGATTAATAGTGCGAAGAAAAATTATGTAGTTGGCACAAAAGAATGGGAAATTTAATCATTTGAATTAGTATTATAGAGTGAAATTAATAACAATTTGTGAAACAAAATAAAGGTAACAAGAATATACTTTCTGCTATCATCAGGTTGCACTTAATAAATGAATGACCATCTGGTATCTTGACAATAGTACTATCTATACCTATTAAGATGGGAAATGGAATTTTGATGAATGGAAAGGATGAGGAACCATTGGAGCCCATAAAAAGAAAAAGATTGAGCTCAATTGGGATTATTAACTAATTTTTCTTTGTTGATCACATCAAAAGGGCAGCTTGAAGCATGGATATGCAGTGAATTGAAGCTGAAAGTTGCAAAAAAATTGTCAAAAATGAATGGATGCTGGTGCTATTTGTAAAAAAAATGCGCTGAATCAAAAGATTTTCACTCACAGTCAAGCATTTTGAAAATGTTGCATTGAGAATTTGATGTATAGAAGACGTGAAAATATAAATATTCAGACTCAAATCATTTCAACTGAAGAACATGGTTCGTGGCTTGCCCAAAGTAAAAGATCTTCCGACATTTGTGAAGGATGTGCTCATGGAAAGCATCACACACAATCTTTTTTGAAAAGAAGGATCTTCAAGAGGAAAGCAAGTGCTTGAACTGGTGCATACAGACGTGTGGTCATATGGACATGCTCCTATGAATTTTTCCCCAATCAAGTTCACAGAAGAAAAAAAGGATTTCAGCTATGAATTTCCCTGATCAAGTTCACTTGAATAATGATATTTAATTTATCATTATAATGATAGAACATCGATAATGTGGCAATTTGGGTGAACAGTTGAATACTCCTCTCTCTCATGAAAATTGAACTGTCATATCTTATTATTCCATATAAGTTGTCATATCACCGATGTTTCATCATTATAATGATAAATAGCATTACTCAATTCACTGAATAAAAGCATTGATGTGCAGCTCGGTGTTAGTCTCCAAAACCAAATTAGCTTCTAAAAGAATAATCAAGGTATGGTTGATAAGACCAAGTCCATGCTTTATGAATAACATGCACAAAACTTTTTCAGTCGAAGTTGTAAATTCAACCATACGTATACTAAAGAAGTAGGCGATAACACACTACTTGAAGCTCGGAAAGGAAGAAATACAGATTGGTGGCACTTGAAGTGCTTATCAGAATTTCACATGGATAATTTTTTTGATTGGGAACATTGTGGCATCAAAACACTCTTTCTTGACAGATACATTTTCATGTTTGACAATGAGACCTAAAATTGTACGAACGTGCACCATCGCATCGCAAACAGTATTTATAGAGCTTCTATATTGTAAATACTAAAAACTACATACTTTGAATGTGAAAATGGAACCTGTCAATTATGTAGTTTCTGTTCCATTTTATGCATTTAATATGACTTGCTAATGCAAATGAAAACCACATAAAGAACCTAGGAATTAACCAGTGTGCAATTTAGGTCCAAGATTTGTTGAAGAAATTGAATCAGCGTGCACATTAATCAAGAAGAAAGCAAGAAAGCATGTGTAGCCTTCACTCTTTTGCATTGATGATAATTACATTATTAGTATAAAGAATCAATGTGACCATCCCAGGTCTACTATGCTAGATCATCTTTTAAAGGGAGGAATCACAGGCCTATTGCAAATTTGATGGAAAAACAAGGGCAGTGAAAGAAAGAATTTATTATATATAACCAACAAATGTGGAAAAAAAGGAACAGAAAGTAATAAAGAAGAGATGGAAAGAAGCCTGCAGGAATTATTAATGAATGTAAGCAAATTAAGCTAGATGATGTACCTTTTAAAGCTCTGCAACAATACTGCTGCTGCACTTGCCTGCTTGCCCATCGAAGACAGCAATAACAACCTACCAAAAGGTAATAACAACAGAAGTGATAAAAGATGGAAGTTGTTCAATTCTCTACACATTATGTTAACCAACACAATATGTAATTGGGGAAGAGAGTTAAATATCAGATGATGATCCAAAGTTGAATACAAGAATTTAGAGAAAGTAACTCGATAGTAAATATGGCATGGATACATCTTGAGGATCCAGGCCCTACATAAGGAAAGCATAAAATAATGGGCGTGAAGGATCTACATAAATGTATCTATGATCTATCTATGTAGTATTATGTCTTTATACACAGACTGAAACTCAAATCACTTGTAATTTGGAAATTATCTTTCATCTCTGATGAAGCTTCTGTAATGCTAATGAAATCTCAGCATTCTGAAATGATGGAATTATGATCTTCCATGCGATGCTGTGACATTATCTTCGAGTGATACTGCAGTTGGACAATCAAATTGAGCAATTTTGATAAAGATTTATGCCTCTTCTGCAGGACCTTACCTCTTTTGAATTTCGAAATGTTGGCATGAATTCTTTAGTTCAGATGTCTAAATCCAAAGACATAGAACCCTTGCCCTTGTTGCGCAGGTCCGAGGGCATAGTTTGGGGCCTTGACTTCTGGGAAGAAAATGAATTAGGAAATGAAGAAGAATCAAAAGTGGGAGGCTGAAGTTCCATTGCTGAATGAGTTACAGTTGTGGAAGACAATATATCACATTCATCTGACTCCGAAATGGGACACTCCATGTTCACACCAAACAGCCTGAATCGCTTTGCTGTAGCCTTCCCTTGGACCACCGGCACCGATTCAAACACCATTTGCTCAACCCCAACCCCACCTACCCTTTGCATCTGCACCTTTCCGAGCTGATGTGGAGCTAATGCTCCAGTTCCAGCTCCAGCCCCGGCAGCCGATCTAACATAGACTATCGAGCCTGCCGAACAAGGGTTTCCGGTTATAACATTAGTACTGCAGCCGTAAGGTTCATTACCATATCCATAAGTATAATTGGGATGAGATTGATGAGTATTGGCGTTGGGTGGCATCAAGTGTGAATAATCCCTGGTCAATAGTTGCCCTTGTGACAAATATGGATGATTCCAAGGGTGAAGAGTCCTCTGGAAAGAGAATTGATGTGGAACTGAGAGAGGAGGAATAGGAGGAGAAAGCGCAAGCATATCTGGACGGCGCCTCCAATCAATGAATAATCGATCCTTTCCCAACTCACCAACCCCACGCTGAAAAGAGACTGTGTCACCTGCATCAAGCTTCTTTTCTTTAACAAAGCGGCTCCATCCTTTGGTCATTACATAGCTTTGGCTGCTGTTCCAGTAGGAGTATCTGAATCTCCATGGCTTTCCATTTCTATCCTCGAAATTCAACAGAAGTCCTTTCTCATTCGTGGATGAATCCAAGGGGAAATACTTTTCCGCGTATTGTTTAGGAATGACTAATCGATTGAGCTTGCCCACATCACTTGGTGTCACTACCTTGTCAAACATGTGCTCTCTTCCGATAAAGATGGAGTTAGCAGCCATACTACTGCCTTCTCCTCCTCGCTGATGAATAACGTGATCATCGGAGTCATTAGTCCCCTCCCCATCTCCATTATTGTTGGGCGAAGAGTCCAGCATGAGCTCACCTTCTTGCCGGTGGTAGGTGTAGGGAACAACACCTTTTTGTTCAGAAGATGAAGGGAAGAAAGAGTAGTGAGATGAAGGATTCATACCTTCTGAAGTCGCTTCTTCATCTTCTTCATAAAATCCTGGCCTACCAGACATGAAATTCATGATCTGCCTGCTAACCAATTCCAAACTCAATCTGACAGATCTAAGAGCAAAAACTAGGATCTTTAATCTTCATGTACTGTTATGGTTGTAGTACACGAAAAAAGAAGAAAAATCTTAATCTTGAATATGTCAGCAGCTAGTAGGTAGGGTTAACAAGTTTTTGGTTTCAAAAAATTCCAAGAAAGAGGAGCAGCGGCCGAGAGCTTTGAACATCATCAATCAAACACAGTTGAGGGTCGGTGCTTGCGATTCAAAAAGGCATGTCTAATTGAGTTGATGATCTATTTATTCTTTCTACTCGCTGTCTGACCATAAATGATGCCTGGAAGCTTCACATGTTAAGCGATTTTCATTGAAGAAAAAATTATTCGTGTGTGCGAGATGGGCCCCATTAATTATCTGGTTGAATTCATGTGAAGTCGTCCTTGTCATCAGCCTGTCTAATACAGTATTTATAAGTAGGTTTTCGTTAAGTACCAAAGCAGCCGCAGCCAGCTGTTTTGTATACCACGAACTTCTAATTCTATTTGTGTTTTCTGCAACTTGACTTTGGCATTCTAAAATATTATTTATTTGGATACTTACATTATTTGTCCAACTTTATTAATTCATTAATTATTTCACGTTTATATATCTTAATAATTTTGCAACAAACAAGTAGGTCATTTGCTTTGCATTATTGTTTCCAATTAGTCCGTACATGACCTATTCTACTATACTCTTTATCAAAATGAAAAATTTATTACTTGCTCGAATAAAATATTACTTCAACGTCAATAAGAATCAATTCACAACTAATTTTGGATTCGAAACTCCTAAATTTAAATCTTGTTTATTTCATTGATGTTTAGACCGACAAGTCGAACTCTTTGTCTATGATAACGTTCAAGGATGCTATCCATGTCATCGAGACACCACTCGTTGATCTACGAGGCGGTGATGTAAAAATTAATTGCATTTCAAAAGGATTTAATTGAACTTATCCAACATCCTTGGAACTTTACATTGACAAGTCCAAACATTTAATCTTTGGCCTTGTGGGTGAGGAAAAACAACTTCAAGATAAAGGCTCCATGCTATTTGATCGAGACCACATCGGATTATTCAGATCAGAAACCACTAAACATGACATCATATTTGTTGACAATTATATTGATAAGACTATTAAATAACATGAAACTTGGGTGAGTTTTATCGGTATTGTGAAAAAGTAGCAATTAGAACACATAAAATCAGACAGCTCGGCCTAATGCCAATTTTTGCTCACGAGTCCTATTCACTCCATAAGGTAGGAAACTGAATCACCTATAACTTGTAGACTTGGTAGCATTTCGCTCATAAATGTTCGTACAATTAGCATTAAGCACTGAGTGTATTTGTTTAGATCTCTAGACATATTAGCATTTCGCTCATATAAATGTTTGTACAATTAGCATTAATCACTGCGTATATTTGTTTAGATCTTCAATCACTAACCTTGAGCGTAAGCTTCAAGTAGTGCCACACAACATAATTTTATTATTCTATTCGTATTCTCATTTACCGAAGCGATTTTCAGAGTTTTGGTACATCTTGAACAAGTGCCTGAATTTAGAGGATGAGATTTCAATTGGTTGTTATGTTACTTGAACTTATTAATCAAGCTCGTGGATTAGGCTACATAAAACCTTGTTCAATTATTAAGTTGGCATACAGCCCTTTAAAGATGGAACTAAAATTTGTGGAATGAATTACAATTTAGAGAAGTACATTTTGACTTGATTTCAGTATCCAAAATTACTACTTTTTTCCCAACATTTGGACCAATCAAACCAGCCACATGCCATTTGTGGTCCAAATGTTTTCTGTGAATATTTTGCCAATTAGAGGAAACAATTAAAGAAGGAAAAACTTAAAAATGGTTAATATGAAAATTAAGCAGCAATTGTACGACCAAAGTTTCACATTGGTTATATGTGAGTTAAATAATAACTTTATAAAGGATTGTGTTACTTCACCTTAATTGATTAACATTTTGGGAATGAACCAAAATTCTAACAAATGGTAGACGAATCTCCCATTGGAATCAAACGAACGTGGTGGGCCTTAATTGGAATGCAACACTCAAGAAACTTCGTGGTTGGCTTTCTAGATAGTGGTTGTGCCCACGTAAGGCAGTTGGTTCAGTTTGTTTGAAAAGTGTTTATAAACTATTTTAATTATAAATACATAGAAATAAGTAAAGAATAATTGATATTACTTTTGGATCACTCAAAATATATTGATAAAAAATAATTTCACAATTAATAAACAGTTTATAAAGCTGAGCCAAATATTAGTAGAAGAGTTAGCCTTGACGGAACATTTAATCCTTCTTGATTTGAAGATAAAATACAAATAATCTATTGCTTAAAGGGAGTGTGAGATTATAGCCATGTCTGGCCCAGATTTTCATCCGAAATCTGTTTCTTGACCGTTCAGCCGCAATTATAGACTAGTCCTCTCACAGCCGGGGCCCACGTACAGTGAAGAAAAGGTCAAAATTTGGCTAAAAAGTGGGGGCAAACATACGAGAGCTGCAAGAAAGTTGTGAACCGCATCGATTCACATAGCTTAAATGATAAGCTTATAAGAGATTAGATTACGTCACCTACTAAGTGAACTTTTTCATATGCAATTAATTCCCTAACCATCTTTAAGCCCTGTTCGTTTCTGATTTTTCATCCATAAAAATGAAAAATATTACCGTTATCCATCACATCAAGCCATCAATTTTGAATTTCTATATCTTGTGTGAAACTCAATAACGACTATATTTTTCATTCTCATTCTATAATAATGAGAATCGAACGGCCTTTAAGATTAAATAAAATATAAAAGGACACAAAATTAATTGGATTGGTGAATTTGACAACCTGGAACAAGTTATAATTTGTAGGTAATTAGTGGAAGGAATAGCCACCCAATTGATAAAGTTTTACCTACCCAGTTTGTACATTGTATCCACATGTAGTGCGGGAATATCCACTTTAAACTGGTCTTGCCTTTTCTCGGTAAATTTATATCAATTAAGTTTAAAATAAATAATTGAGCTTATGTTCGATATAAATTAAAATCTAGATTTTACGGGAACATGTTTTGTCATGGAGTTGACATGTCTCTCCACTAAAAGTTATTTACGGTTATAAAATTATCTCCAAATTAATTGGTGCTGAGTTAGCTCCATTTGGTAGAGTTTCTTAAATTTCATTTATTATCAATTTATTTTTAATTACGCATTCTTTCAATAATATAATTTGTATCTGGACGCATAACTTATTGCTTCTTTTGAGCCAAACAGTCTCCAAAAAATTCAATTTTCACGAAATTTATTCTCAGAAAACGTACATCAAACGTGATATTTGTACACGAAGCAAGCTGAGAGGATTAAATGCAATGTGGCTCACTCAACTTTGAGCAAAGGTGTATCTAAGTAATTCATCTTTAATTTGATGCAATCAAGTCATCTAACTTCGATTTGCTTGCAAATACCGTCTTTCAATGAATTACCCCAAACTAATGCTATATGTTGACTCAGGCATTAAAAAAATCGTATGAATACAATATATGTCCACGTCGCACAAGAAACACATCACCCATCTTAAAATATTTTCTTCAAAAAATCATATAACTAAAAGTAGGTATTTACACATAAGCTATTCATTATTTTTAATGTCAAAGTCAACATATTTCGTTAGTAAAACTAACAGTATTAAACACGGTTACCATATCTACAAGTTGAAATTGAGTGAGTTGATTGAATTAAATTGAAGATGAGCGATTAGATCGATAAAGAAATCAAAGTTGGTTGGCCTAGATGCACATCCGCTCAAAGTTGGATGGCCCGTAGTGTATTTGTTGTAACATAAAATTAAAAGTTTTAAATTTCAAATTAATACATTCTTAATTTGCAGTTTAGTTTTTAATTTTCAGATTTAATACTAAATTAAAAATCTTAATATTAAATGTAAGTTATATTTGAGTAATTTAATGTGGGGGTTTCAAACTCTACCTGTAAAAGGGATTGATTTTCCTAACATGAAATATAGAACTTTGAGAAGAAAACTAGAATATCATCAAAATACTCCCTTTGTTTTTTTTATACTTTTGAAAACTCGATAAAGGCTCGTTCTTTATCTCCATATGATCGGCCCATTGAAGGAGAACTGGCTGTGAGCCACATGGGTTTTATCTTGGAGTTGTGTAGTGTCGAAAGAACCTGCACAAAGGGGAGGCAACACAACTTTAGGATATCGTCCTTGACATGACTATCAAAAGCTTGCATTTCTAACTCTATTTACTTATATTTTATATTCATGTTATTGTATAATTCTTATATTTATAATTATAGTTGAATTATATGTTATGTTTATATTATTTAATTAATTATGTTAATATCTACACACAAATCAACTATTTTTTCCAACATATTTAACCCCAAGCTGAGAAGGCATTTTCATGTAAAACATTGACAATATAATTAAGATAATAACTATGTCAGTAATCGATGTTAATTAAGATGCGTGAAACTTTCGTCATCAACCCAAACAAGAATGACGTGTGCATACGAAAATCAATTTCTTGGTTACCAGATTAATCAATATTTTATTTGTGATTCTTTTATTGTATAAATAAATTGAAGCTATGGAATCCCAAAGGCCATGCTATTTTTCTTATATATATTCATTCAAATTGTACCATTTTGAAAATAATTATAAATTATTATCTATTTGAATTTTACCCACATCCATTATAGTAAATTAATTGTAACTGGTCCAATTTAATTTGTTTGAATTAAGTGAAAAACATATGTTCCTATGTGGTCCACTCTAGTTTGTCTTTGTTGCTTTTAGTATTTATTTATATAGAGAGACTATCGAGAAATAGTATCGCACCTTAACTTATCAAATTATAAACGCTTCAATTATAATTGCAAAAGACAAACTAATGGCCGAACACAGATTATCCATGGT